ATCGCCCACGTCTGAAAGCTGGATCACCTGCCATTAACTGAGAAACACGCTCCTCTTTAGCAAGATCATCATTCTCGCTTCTTTTCAAGTCATCTGTGGGCTTTTTATCCATATCCACCACACTGGCAGAGTTTGAAGACTTAGCATTAGCTATGGTTGACTGAGCTTTCTCTGGAGACCCTATCAGAGGTAAAACCTTTTCCATTTTTAGCATCTTATTTCTAAGAACTTTTATCTCTTCATCCTTCATGTTGTTCTGCTTCTTCACTTCTTGCAAAATATCTTCCAATTTGTCTATATGCACCTTAAGATCATCCACATCAGTTACTCCTTTACCGTTGGCCATAACATCTTCGATTTTCTCATCTCCAACTCCTACTGTGTCCCAGACATCACGAGCAACAGCTCGCCATGATTCACGCTCATTCGGATCTTTTTTCCCATACATGGCACAAAGCTCTTTCATTTTAACAATGGCCAGAGCCTCAATCTCCTGCCTAGTGTGCCTGAAGTCATTGAGTGCTACCTCATAGCATATCTCTTTCACAGCCTGAATCTTTAAGTCTGAGATGGTAACCCATTTGGAGTCTTTGCTAAGGCGTCGACGCTGGGGTATCTGGTACATTTTAATAGGCTCACGTTTCTTCCCACTGCTGGGGAGGCCACACTTTTTTACAATGGTTTGGAGCTTGCTGGGGGGCAGCTTCTCTCTCAGGGAAGTGATCAGTCTCCAACTCTCCTCACACGATCTCTTGTCCGAATCATCCCCACTATCAGAGTCTGCATCCTTTGGAGAAACAAAAATCAAGAAGTGGCCCCAAAATAACCAAAATTAAAATTGTAAGAAAATGGAAAAGCTAAATAAGAAGTAGCAGGCAAAGAAAACTAAATCAAAAATCAAAATAGAACAAGTGATAAGAAAGTCCCTGAAGACTGAGTGTTAGGGCATTAAAATGTATCTTCAAGAGTCATGGACTGTCAAAATTGGACCTCTTCACTAAGTTAACATTAACATTATATTTAAAAGTCTTGTCATCTCAAAATAGCAGATAATCTAAACTTCTCCCTCCCAATCCCTTCCAAAATCTTTAAATAGATCAACTAAAACCAAGTTCCTGATTTGAAAAAAATAAAAACAAACTGTAAACTGCACTTCACACATGCTACAAAGACATGCAAATCCCCGCCACACACATTTTGCCTTGGTGACTGCTGTTGCTTCTTTCTTCCCCAGGTAGGTGAACACAACAGCCATCATAGAAGATGTCATGAGCAGCCAGAGTAAGTCAGGTTAACACTGGTTAGTAACGTTGCACGTGGTTGCAGGGATGCTCAAGTTTAGAATCCACTTCACTACAATAGCAGCCAGAGAAATGTTAGACGATAAGAAAAAATGAAACAGAAGCAGCCGAAAGGTTCAATGTTAAAAGGACTGTAAGTGCCACTATGACAGGTGAAGACAGTGGTTCATTCTCCAAGACTTGCTACAAGCTAAAAGGATATCCAGAATCAGAGTTTCAGAGGTGGGTTGTGGTTTGGGTTTTTTTTCCCATTTGTCACCTTGTTGCTTAGTTTAAAGAAAAAAGAACATTAACAGTCTTGTCTGTCCGAAGAATGAGTTTCAGAAGATTGTAGCAGTAATGACTTTTTTTTTAAATGGTCTTAAAACAAATTCTCTATTTGATATCCTTGTTTTGTCCTCTTCTCAAACCCTATAGCCTGGAGCTTCCAAACACTTGCTAAGAGTTATGCATGTTTTGCTTCTTCGTTACAAGTTTTCCACCTTTTGCTAAATGATTTCTAATGAGCAGTGCTTCAGGTTTCCATATGCTAGGAATGTCTGTTCAGATATACTGCCACCAGAAGTTAGGGATATCCATTATTGCTTACTGCAACCAGGAATTAAAGTCAGACTACTTTTCTTTAAAGGATTATTAATTTAAGACATCTCTTTAACAAGCAAAAAGTCCTATGTATTACTGTGATCCAAACATCTTCAATAAAACACAGCAGTCGGTCTCTAATGAATCTCTACCTAACGCGCCTAGAGAATAGAGAATTATAATACATGAGAAATCAGGAACAATAACAGCCAGTTATTCTAAAACCAAAAGAAACCCAGGTCACTGACTCAGAACCACAGGTTCCTAGACTTAAGACTTCGGGTAGAAGACCACGAAGAATGAGGAATACAGTATAATTTGTTTTGGGAATGAAGAAAGGGAGTAAAAGAAATGCTGTTCTGCTCTATGGTCAACAAGCTCCATAGCCTAAGGTTCACATTATTTGAGCTTTTTGTGACCTTGTGTGTTGTTAAATATTTAATAGCACTAGAGTATCAACTTCTCCTAGTTTCGGCCAAAATACAAGCAAAACACTGGTTTAGAAACAGAACATAAACTGTGAGTTTACAGCTGACAAAAATTGTGGTCTAAGGAAACAGCATCTAACAAACTGCATCACAGTGGAAATAAGAGATGCCCTGGAGGAAGACACCGTACAGTCTACACATTCAAGGTTACGTCCAGAAAGGCAAAACACAAACTACTCAAACGTTAAGTCACAAGTTCCACAGGATTATTCTTATAGGTTACAAAATTACCTTATTACTACTTATGGGTAAAGCATATCTTGTGTATAAAATGCTGATTAAGAGACACTATGTAGTCACTTCCCTGTGTGCACTCAGAGGTTAATCAGACCAACTAATATAGGTATATACCCACTTTCTAATATCAAGTGGTCACTGCAAAGGCATTATGACCAAGAAAACCAGGAAGATAATTTTAGCTCTATTAAACACATTTTCACATTCAATTTGTAAAATGGAGAAGGATTATTTCTATCCCCTAGGAATACTAGCAAGGCAAATACAGATTAGGTGTAAATTTGGGAGGACAAGAGCTATTATTCATCTTCTTTGTATAGCACATCTAACAAATAAATACCCAAGTTGGTTGGAATCTCAGCACAAAACCAAAACAATCTGGTAAACAGGATTAGCCCAGCTTCTTATATCCAAGATTATACTCCAATTTAGAACAAGAATATTTATATTTCAATATCACTCTTACATAGCAGTAAGTTAGAGAACCTGATGTTGCAGCTAGATACCGCAGCAATGTAAATACTTTTAAGGTACACAAGCTGAAATGCATTCCCAGATTTCCCAATCATTATTCAACTACTGTTGTATGAATGCATTAATCCTGTCCATTGCAGACTCTGCATACAGTGACACAGAAATGACGAGATGTGTCAAGAAGTTTTGCTGTCATCTGAAATATTCTTGTTAAGCATTGTGATAAGCAGGATACTGCTTAACAGACCAATGATCTCATCTGATACCATCCCTTACAACTAAGAAAGGTGTCCTTCAGGAATTATATTGGTAATGCACATACAATAGTCTTCCACCTTTGTCCACTAATTGAAATCAGCAAAACCAAAACAAGCTTAAAAAAATCAGCAACTTTACTACAGTATTAAACAACCCACTATCTAAAGAACTTTCCCTTAATCTCAAGTACACGGGAAACAAATTCCCTTCACAACACTTACAAATGCAGCCTTATTTGGAGCAGATCCCCAGGTAGCCAATTCTCACATCTTTACTTCATACAATAGCTTAGCTTATGCCTGTCAGCTAAAATTTAAGGGAGGGAATTCCATTACTTGCATCTCCTTTAACACATAGCCAAAACCTACTCAATACTCAAACTATTTTTCTTTTCGCCTTGAACTGATTTTTGCCGTACTATCAACTACGCAAATTTTAACTATAAAATTGCAGCGATGAAACATTATATTAGTCACATCTTAACTCCCTTTCTGAACTAAGTCTTGCTTTGATTCGAAGTCTGCAACCACTCCTCTCCCTCCAAGAAATTAGTCCCTTGCGATGAAATAATGAGAGATGCAGAACTGTTTCAGTGTATAATATAAATGAAAAAAATTATGTAGTTTCTACTTATGGAAGCCACAGTACTCTGTTCCATTCTGCTTTTGGGAGAAGGGGAAGAGCTCTACAGTTTAAAATCCATCACACATTTAACCCAGTTTTCAGTGGTCTCAAACTAATACTACAAACAAATGAATCACGATTTTGAAATTTGTATTAGAATTCAGGCACAACTACATTTGCATTCTGGCTAAAAGACAACCCAATGTAGTTAAAGCAGAATCAAGAGACTCAGGTTTCTCAAGGAAATCTAGATTTCATTCCTGGGCTTTGTCTTGTTTTTAAAATGTACAGGGTGCTTGAAGACTGCATGTATTTCTATCTGTAATGCACTTCAGAAGATACTTCTTGTGAGAAGACTGAAGTTTTCCTATATCAGACAGTTTATCAGACTTCCTATTTAAGAAATAGGTGGAAGGGTGGAATTCCAATTGTTCTGAATGAGTTAACATTCCCTTTGCACACCACTCCCTAGCCAAAACCCCACCATCAGCGTATGTACCATTAAGACCCTTACAAGGAACTCCATGCAGGGGGAGGGAGAAGGGTTAAAACATGCACAATGCAGCAACATTTTCAGACATTATTCAAAAAAAAAAAAAAAAAAAAACAAAAAACCCAAACCCTAGCGTATCAATGTTCTAGGAATCTCTTTGGCAGTACAAAATTAGTATGTTCTGGTGATCCAAGACAAAAATAAAGGCAAACATCCCAAGAAGTAGCTGCTTAGACTACTGAAAAGGAACTTCAAAAAACACAGAGCATAGCAATGCCCTTCTTTCAGGTTAAGTTGCAAGAAATCCAACCTGTCCTAACAAGAACTGATTAAAGCCAATTCATTGTCGGTTACAATCTCTGAATTAACATGAAGGAGCTTGCTCACACTGATAATAATTCACTGTAGGCACAAAGTATTTGAAAGCAAAGGGAGAACTGCATTGTGCAGAGAACCCAAGCAGGTTTCCTAAACTTTCAGATAAGCAAGGACAGGAATTACTGATTGCCAAAGGTATAGTTAATCTGAAGCAAGGACACATACCAGCCTTTGCTGCTCCAACAAGAGATCAGCTTCCTCCTTCTCCTTCTTATACAAAATCTCCATTTCTTGTAACCTGAAGATGAACAAAAGAAAAAAAGTCGCCAAAGTGGTCATTATTTTCATGTTGGTGTTACTCTACATGCACAGCCCACAGTGACAAGAGTAAAAGTCATTCCACTTAAATGGAACTTTGTCTATTTGTAGAATTTGTCTATTATATTGCTATAGCAAGTGAAACTTACAGGAAGTTGCAGTTCAATCCTTCACCAAAAGGTCTATAGAGTTAGTGGCAGGTGCCGACCTGTGATTTTTAAAGGAGCTAGGGCACCAAAACAAGCAAAATAACGAGGAAGCTTTCTGAACTTTCATAATATGTAGCAGAGATGCTATGTGGCAGAACCTAGGTTTAGGTTTTGCATGGACACCATCCAAATAACCTACAGCCAACTCCTCCTTGTTTCAGGTACAAAAATTTGAGTTATTTTGTTACCTTTTCTCCATCTCCTGCTTCATGTCAATGCCCTGCTTCTCCAGAAGCTCCCTCTGAGCAAATGTCCAGTCAACTGGCTCAGAGGGAGTCTCAGCTGATGGCGTCTTCTCTCTTTCTGCTCGAGCTTGCTCTGGATGGTTGAATCTGAAGACATGATTTTTACCCATGATGATACGATTTCCTAAAAATAGGAACAAGTTAACTCTTTCAGGTAAGGATTCCAAAACCATTGAAAAACACCACTGAATGATTCATCCTATTTATCCTGTTGGGTGACAACATAAGAGAAGATTGACCTACAAGGATTTCTGTATACGTTCAAGTTATCTAGGTGACAAAAAAAAAAAAATAAAAAGAATGCCTGGTTTGCACAGAAGCAGTGCTCGTAGAGGACAACATCACTTCTAGGGGTCCAATCTAACATCCCAGCAGAGTTTATCAACTCTGGACAAACTTGGAGATTGACCAATAAAACACATCACTAAATCCCATTCCTCTGCTCCAGTGACAATGCTAAAACATGGGCAAAAGCCACTTCAGCAGCATTTTCAGCTTGGAAAAGCCTAACTTCAAACACTGGAATGCATGATGCTTACTTTTCTTCAAAATGTGGTTTACACATACTGATTTTATTGGAGTCCTATCAGTGGGATTTATGGAAGTATTTTACAGCTTCTTTTACACTAATGTCAAAAGGAAGAAATCTAATATTGTTCTCTTTTGGCTAAATCTTGGAGATATCATATGTCCACAAAGCCCGAGACATGTGCTTGATGGAAGACAGTAAAATGCCTCTGCTCTTCCACAGAATATATTAATGTAGTTAAAATTTTAAAAAGGCATTCTAGTAAATAGACCTCCAAAGTAACCCAAATTGTCCTTATCAATATATTATTAAAATATAGGCTCCTCAAGATGTCAGAGACCATGTCTATATTCTTCTAGTAACTCAATTATCTAGATGCAGAAGAAAAGGAAAAATATCTACCTTGTTTTAAAAGAAAGTAATTACTAAGTGGTAAAATCATGGTATTCAATATGAGCCATATGCAGGCACAGAACAGCAAAAGTTGTTCTTCCTTCCTTGTCCAGACTTACGCTGAAGTCAGCACATTTGGTTCCATGAAAATACTCACTTATAACACAGTGCAAATAATTCTGAGGTGTGGTGGGGTTTTTTTGGTTTTGGTTTTTTTTTTTTTTTTTTTTTTTTTAAAGTGGAAAAACAGGGGAGGGACACAGAAGGCATCATAGCTTGAAAGAGATAGGTTAAAACCCATAATTTAGGGAAGTCACTCCCTCCTCTCTATTCTTCCCCCACATGCCTTTCTAAAGCAATGTAGGGGACTGAGTGGGAAATCTAATGAGAGCAAAGAGAAGCTCTTGTACTCCTTCAGAGGGTCATATCTTAGCTTTGCCAGGAAACTAGGAATTTTCCATCAGCAACTGGCAGTCTGTCTGCTCTGTCTCACTGAGACTGCCAAGGGCAATAGGCTTGGGCAAGAATGTATTTGAATAATATCAGGGTAAGCAGAAGGACAAGCAGGATGCTGCACGGCAGTGAATTTTTATGTACACTTACAGCTAGTGCAGCAAAGAATGAAAGAAAACGAACTGCTGCCAAGAGAAGAGTGGTACCAACTTCCGTTTAAAAGTTACTTTCCAAAAAGGTAATGCTGCTGTCTTTTAACAGCACCCAGCATTCTCTACATATGATCCGACAGTCACACGTGGACAATTCTTAGACGGAGAGTCTACAAAAAAACCTGTTTTAACAGTTCTTACCTGAGCGCAGCTGCACGGGCTGTACAACCCTCTTGCCATTAACATAGGTTTCTGATCGTTCACAAGGCTCCAAAGTAACAATAACTATGAAGAAAACAACATTGATGAATGAGACTTTGGAGGGCACTGTATAGAAACAGAAGTGTGCAAACCCTAAGGGCCTCTCATTTTCTGCTTATCTTCCTACTAACATAATAAAAAAGATACAAGTGAATCACTCCTTGATACTACACTCGTTTAAAAAAAAAAAAAAAAAAAAAAGCCTATGAGAAAATCAATACTACTGACATCTCAGTTGGAGATTATTTTTTTTGTTTGAATTTTCATGTTTATAGTTAACCAAGATCAGAACTTAACTCTTATACTAACTGCAGCCTGCAAGTTGAAGCTATAATCACTTAAACAAATTTTGTTTTCTTCTCCTAAGACCCAAGAAGACAGCAAGTCAAAGCTGATGGTTTTGTTGAGGTAAAAGAAACCTTCAAATACCAGTATTCTCTGGTCAACTATTAAGCGAGGAGCGAAAGATTCAGCAACACTTTGCTAGAAGTAATTTTTTACCTTCACCATTGTTGTTCCTCTCACTTCGAAAGATACAGTGTTCTTCTTTGATATGAGCCCCACTTAGTACAATGTCTTGCCTTCGCTCAGCATCAGCTTGGCCAACCCTGGGTCCAACAGAAGATATTTCGAGAGCAAATGAGACACTTTGTATGACTGTGTAGGACCATACATCCCAGAAATAGCCAGGAAAAAAAGTCTAAACTATTAAAACTATTCTTTAAGTTTAAAGGTTTGAACCAGTGCTGAACTCTGCGTTCCAGAGAACTTACCAGATTTACCATGAATTGGAGGATAACAGCTTGACAAAACAAGACAGAAGTTTTCTCCCTCTTAAAATATATAATTTAAAGAGAGAATTGAAACATTAAACACCTCTGGATTTAACGTGTTTCCTGCTCTCTTGTGTACCCCATTGTCCCTCTAGCAAAGCAATACGGGGGAAGGGGCTTCCAGTGGTGCAGTTCAGCTGGCATACAGTGATCATCCCTTCCAATAATCACCATCTGCACTTTAACAAAGAAGCAAAAATGGCTCAGGAGACTCTTGCTGAATAATTTGATGCCACAAGCAATTTCATCCAGCTTCCAGACAGTACAAGGTTGGCTGTCTCCCTGGAGCATGAAGATTTATGTCCATTCCAAACTCAAATACTTGAGCAATTCTAGATACAGACAACTTAAATTTTCAATCCTAATGTTTATGAACTTCTTGCTCTACTTATTACTCCACATATTTCTGATGTCAGCTACCTAGGCTCAAAACTGCTAATGATTTCTTAAGCGCTATGCTATTGTCATCATTCTGTGCCGAATTCTCTACAAGTCTGATATGCTTTCCAGTAGGTCCGATGCATATTAAAATAGTACCTACAACAGCACCTGTTTGTGTGCTCTTCTCCACTTGTTCCCCAGGAACATACAAACTAAGCAGCCAAACCTGGCTTAGTGATCTGATAACAAAACCTGCCTCTCTTCTTCCAGATGTCTTGACAACAAATTCTGGATTTAAATGTTATAAATTCCAAACCTGTCAATTAAATTTACTCTCATATATGTGAATGCAGAATACATTAATTGTGCAGGGGCATGGATAACAGTTTATTTAAATAATAAAGCGAACACTCGTCCATATTCCAGTTGGTTTATCAAATGCTACTATTTTCAATCCTCCACCCATCAACATCTCAAAGGCATTTTCAGTAAGTTTTATTACTTTTGTTTTCTTGTATCTTAAAAGGAGTATCATGCTTTCTTTTACTGCCCAGATGTAGTAATGAACTCCTCATAAAGCTGAGTGACTGCACACATTACTTAAAAAGCACAAAATCAACTTAAAAGAAAATGCATGTCTGTACTTTTTTCCACCTACAGCAATCTCATGCTGCATTTATACCTGCAAGTTGAATAGCTCAAGGCACAATAATTATTTATGGTGTCTCCAGCATGGGGGTTTAAGCAAGCAAAGAAGCAGGCTTCAGAGCATATTAGCACCAATCCTCACCTAGTAATACCATCTTTGATGTAGTAAAGCAGACATTCAGACATGAGTGGATCTTCATTAAGGTTTACAAGATGAGGAGTCTGAAAGAAAAAAAAAAGTTAATTAAGAACTGAGGACCTACCTTCAGGCTTCTTCCCACAGCTATGGAGGATGTATATTAATCCAGCAGTTTTGCTACGTATAATCGAGTTATTCCACAATGCATTTTTTCAAATATAACTTCATGCAGTACTGAAGAATATCACAAAGTAATAGCAGAAATACAGCTTAGATTGCTTAGTTATCTGATATATCAATCAATGAAGGGAAAAAAGGCTTCAGATGGAGGAAAAAAAAAAAAAAAGATTCTTTGCAAAGTCTCTGCAGACTTTGATAAAGGAAGTCCAACAGCAGAAAAGGTTGCTTCAGTAAAATTTTGATGCTGACACAGAATCATCTTTGGCTTTTCTTGGGCAATACAGGTCAGGTGATCATTTGGCAACGTCTGTTAACATCAAAAGGAAATCTAACACTACCAACATTCTCCAATACAAACAGCTAGAAAACTCTTCATCTAAAGTTCTTCTAAATTTATATCCACTATGGTTACTAAACCAACCTTCTTTGGTGAAAAAACCCCATTGGAATCAGCAAACAAGTCACAAGGCCTTGGTGTGAAAATCTAGCCAGTGAGGTAGCAGTAAGCACAAGCACAAAAAAAAGGCAACAATGGTTAAACAGAATTAAAGAAGAAAGGTGATAAAAGAGAAAAAAAAAACCTGTTAATAAGCCACTTGTCCCTTTGTTACCATCAAATAGAATAAATTTAGCAGAAGGAAATAAATTTGGCTAAGACTCCTTGGGAACATTGCTTCCACCAACTTATTCTAGATGCAAAAAAGTTTGCTTAAGAGATGGTAACAGCACTCAGTTTACAAAAGCTAAAAAATTACTGGACATTCACAACGAAATTTGTCTTTGAATGAAGAAGTCTGATTGTCAGTTACCCAACCAAAGCCTTAACTATAAAGACAGAAAGGGGGGGGAAAACCCAAGACACCTTTTTCACCCCTAAAAATACAGGGGGCATCTAAAACTGCCACTTAAGATATCCCATGCCACCATCACTATTCACTGCATTCAAATCAACATTTGGAGCTGTATAAAGCTCTTAAATCAAGAGAAAACCGGAGAGAAACCAAGTCCCAGACACAGTCAACTGCTATAACACCACTATGACTTATACCACTTGGAATCTTTGAAAATAGTGCTATACCCTTTACATACATGTTTTAGCATCAGAGTTCATTTACTACCTTAAATCAAAGTCTGATCAAATCTTTCACAGGCAACAGAGCGCTTTATAAAAAATGAAGCTCAACATCTTGAAAGATGATGCTAGCAAAGCCGACTATTCACTCATTCCAAGATCTATTATTCATCCAGACAGTTATGTCTTCAACTCTCTCCTGTACAGCATTCCTCAAGCATGAGCTGAACGATTTTCCCTGCTCCCATCTTTGACAACAGCACGAGCAATCAAATTTCCACAATCCATTTCAAGAACTTCCCTGCCATCAAAGACAAAACTGGTAGATACAGCAATGATTGTACAACGTGACACCTTTTAATTTGTGAAGTGTGCAAAACTTACCTTACAGAGTTCAATACACAGCTCAGCTGGTAAAAACATAGTACTGTCCTAGTAGCATATGATTAGATATATACTGGTACCTCAGAAGTGCAAGGTCTTCATTAAAAAAAACCTTCAAATTTGCTATCTACATCTCCTAAATTTTCCACAACAGCAGCCACAGTTACTAGATGGAGAACTAATGAAACTGAAGTGCAAGGATAGCAAGGAACAGAAGCAGACAGGAGTAGCTCAGGAGTTTTACTTCTCCTAATAAATCCTATATGGGTGAAAAGAAATACTATCTATTACCAAAGCAACTACTTAATCCAGATGGCATTTATACACAAACCTGATCAGCTGAAAATGCACCAAAAGAGTCATCAAAAAGAGCTGAGGGCCTCTGAGGGAAAATCTAAAAGGAGATGAGGTTCCATAACGTAAGAGAAAGAAATGTAAAGAACACTCAATGAATTAGCGCCTTTACAAACCTTCGGCATTTCTGGAGAAGGTACCAAAAGCAAACCAGAGTTCTACCTACTCCAAATGTAACAGTCTAACTCTCAGGGACTGATTAAACATTTTAATAAATTCTGCTGTCCTATATTTCTGCACAATGCCTCTAGATAGGTCCCCATTTAACCTTAGCTCAAGTTTGTTACGTGCTTGCACATGCAAGTTTCAGGCTAAAATAATACCCTGTGCTCCTGGTTCAAAGATTTTTGAGATACAAGAAAGTATGTTCTTTTCCTTGTACTTCTTCAATAATTCCACTTTAACTGCATAGATAGCTTCTCTAATAAATTGATAATTTTCTATTTATAGCACTGCTTTATGACCTTTTCCTGCACAGTTCTGCTTCTCTCAAATTTCAGAAGCTAGAACTATTGACACGTACCAAAAGAAATATTCCCCTGCATCCCCTATGGTCAATGGTTAATTAGATTACAATCCCCTTTTCCAAGAGGAAAAAGAATTAACAAATTCAAGGAAGAGTATCTAAACAACACTTCAAACTTTTCTGGGTATCTCAAAGAAGAATAGCTAGAGTACAGGAAGGTCACACACAGCTACTGCAGAAAATGGCAACAATCTAAGAGGCAGCATTTCTGAGTTGCTACCGAATCAACAAATATGCAAGGAGCTGCAAACACTTCTCCTTGCAGCACAGATTTTTCTAAAGGAAGCTTCAAAAAAGTTCAACCATTTTTTGATACCAGAAGTCTCCCCATGAACTTTTCACATGGCTCCTATTACATCACTGTATTAGGCTAGCACATGCTTCCCTACTTTAATGACCAATGGAAATTACTACAGGCAATTCTTTCCGCAGCTCCCTAAAAGCATTAAGTACTATGTTGCATCACTTGCATGAGGAAGAGCCTCCAACTTCATTATTATGCGCTTAGATGTAGAGTGTTTTGATAGACTCTAACACTAAAGCTATTTCCAAAGGCACTTGGCAGTAAGGTCCAAACCTCACTTACGTTCTGCTATATCTTACATTAATACAAGCCCTTGTGCGAGTGGTAGCTCCCTCATCACCCTCTCCTCCCAGGCTGATCAGTCTTCTGGAGACATGATGCAATAGTTATCAATTTTCTCTACCTTTTTAGGTGAGAAGACTCCCAGTGTTCCTCCATCTTCCCGAATGGCAACTCCCATTTCTGCCAACAATGCCTCCCTGAGAGAGAAAAGTAAGATCTTCACCACATTTTAGGCTTCTTAGACAAAATAAGGTCTAACAAAAACCACATAATGAAATATATTTCAACCAGTCTATACACTGACCATACAATCAGGACTGTCACCACCTCGTAACACAATAGGGCAAGTTTCTAAACTTTAGTCCTAGAGCTTATAGGTCTGCAGAACAGCAACAGCAAAAATTTTACAGCGATTTAACAGCATTTCAGTGCAGTAATTTATCACAAGATAAGTACATTTTAGGACATTATATTCATTGCTTCTTTTAGGAAGGTTAAAGCCTGTTCTAAATTTAATCTAGGTAAAAGGAGCCACCACTATTCATTAATTTAAAAAGATTAATTGGCTCTTCCTGATCTAATATAAAAAGTACTCTATCCTTAAGACATAAAAAGGATTATATTGGGTCAAACTGTTCATGTAACACAGTATTCTTGGCTTTGACAAAGCACAACAGTGACGCCAACATAGAAGAATAAGAACACAGCAAACACTGTGGTATTTTCCCCAAAGTTTTCTCACAGTCTCCCCATCTCTTCCTAAGGAATTTCCAGAATTAATGGTGGCATTTCTTTTAAACAGCTATCCAAAGTGGTTTTGTTGTTGTTTTTTGAGTTTTGTCATCTTTTTTTCAATTTAACATAAACCTCATGCAGCAAAGACTTTCACAGCTTACCTATGTATTGTGAGAACTTCCTATTTGTTTCAAATCACCTGTTAGTCTTAAAGTTCCTTAGCTCTGTCAGTGAATAATCAATGTCTATACACTTTCTTCATACACCTCTCATGATTTTATGGACTGCTCAGTCATACTGTTTCCAGGCAAAGATGTTCCCCTTACACATTTTGTAAGCTTTTAACATACTAGTAAGTAATGCCATGTTTGGTTGTGCCCACTTTCTGACAATTATTAAGCATCTGTCTTCTTAGTTTAAGGCACAATTCAAACTGAAGCTGGAGTTGTTTCATAATTTTAGATACCCTCATACTAAAAGCTTCATCTTTTCTGCTTAAATTAGGCACAGAGTTTTTAGAATGTAAGAGAATGGTAGAAGGGGGAAGAAAAAGACCAGGACTCCATGCTGCTTCACAGCAGAAGCCAATGGGATGTTACCTGAATTATCACTTTCACTGCAGGAAATACAGGAAAGAATAGGACTTTCTCTCAGCATTGCCCCTGCCGTTACACAGGTAACACAAAGGTCAGCAGAATTATCACTAAGCACTAATCTGCTGTTCCATTGCTTTTGAACAGAGTAATATTCTCTATTTTCCATACTTGTCCGTTTTCTAGAGACTATCCACATCTACAGTGTTTCTGATTCCTGACCTTTCCATCCTAATGGCCTCAGTTTTCCTCAGCTTCTCTTCCCATGTTTCATTCAGCTCTGCAATGATCTTCTCAGATTCCTGTGTGAAAATCCCAGATGCTATTTTACAATTCTTCTCAAAGTTCTTTACATAATACACAAAGCAATTAAAGTTTGTGCTTAGTTCTAGACCACAAATTAATTTTGGATATAAAGAGTACTCTCAGCACTTCAAAACTCTAAGTTGTCTGTCTTAACTTTTAAAAGGGTAAATAGCCTTGAAGGCAAGCTGAGAAGAAAAGACAACTCATATCTAACCACAGTCAGCCTTTAATTTGAACCACCTAAATTTTTTTGTATTTTTTTTTTTTTTTTAAAATCTGATTTACAGACATCATTCAGTAACTGGATGCCAACGAACAGCAGAGACCACACTGTTATTTCCATGGCAACAGCGGGTTTCCAATAGGAAAGGGCTATGCAGTGTGTGTTCCAGCCCATTCCAATCCCTGTGGCAGTGTCTCACAGACAAGACATGAGAATGAAGCATAGATTCAACACAGCCAGCTCTCCCCACTCATCCACCCATGGAGATTGGGGGGGCTTTCATAAAAATTAAGAAATACTTCACTCTAATGCACTTTTGATGCGGTTGAATTCTATGCAGAATTGGGACAAGGCCGCTATTGTCTGGATAAAGCATGCTATTCTGTGTGCTTCACATTTTAATCTGTGGGGGCTGGGCGAATACAACAGTGGCAGGATTATTCTTCCTCCTTTTTTCAACTTTGAGGTAATTTGGTTTTCTGAAAGCTGAGTGCATTTGCTAGTCAGACTTTGTCCACACTAGTGGTGACCAGGCCTCCTGAAGTCTCTATTTATGATCAAATTTTCCATAATTACCACTGCATTAGAGCATCTGTAAACAAGAATCAAGATTTTCATTTATAATTTAGTTATAGCTCCAGGCTACAATTAAGCCTAAATATTTCTAACAGTAAAGGCTGTGCATGAAACCAGTTTCTAGCCCACTGCAGATAAGTGCCCTTTTTAAGGTGCAAGTGGGTTTCAGACAGCTTCCTACAGAAACAGTAGCACACTGGATATATCTTTGAAGGAAAGTTCTCCTGGGTTCACCGCTATTTAGCCTTAGAAAAGAGCAAAATAATAGCCCCCTTAATCTACAGCGATACCTACCTTCAAACGTTCAATTGCCTCTTCTCCTCCAGGTGTTGACATGATTCTTTCCTGTATACTGGACACAGATGTTAAGCCCACCTGACTACTGAGAGAGCAGGAAGATGGAGATGCAGTGAGGGACCCCATGGAGGCTGTGGAAAAATTGCCAGGACGTTGATTCTCGGAGGCTAGCAAGTATCTATGTTTATTGTTCTGAAAATCTTTCAAATCTGGGAGAGAGACACACAGACAGAGGGAAGGCAGAAAGATGGGAAAAAGGAAAATAGGAAGAGGGAAGGAAGAGGAAAGGGAAAGGAAGGAAATACCGGTATAAGAGGAAAGCATTTAAGCAGCAACAAGACAAGTTTTGCAATTTTTAGATGGCAGTTCTGAAACAAGTCTTTTAATATTAGTATACATAACATAGTAACAACTCAGTTCAGACCCTAAGGATTATTAGTGAAGACTGCATCATAAACTATTTCGATCAAAAAAGCTTGAAAAAATAAATTACACACTTGCCAAAAAATAAACCATCCTATTCCTAACTGAACACTGAACTGAGCACCATGAAACTCAGACCAGGAGCAGATTCATTTCCTCATGAGATTAGTGACATTTTGGACTGAAGTCTGAACAGACAGCAACCCCTTAAGCTCAGCAAAACATTCTCTTCCAGACTCCTTTAATCTAAAATGATGATTAAGTAAATATTTATCACAACAGTGGTTCTGCTGCTAAACCACCCAGGCCAGAAGGACAAAGAACTACCCCTCATTAAATTCTCACAGGAAAGCAAGTAAATCCCCTGCCAGTCCACCATGGGGAGAACACAAGCTCACAATAACATTTTGTTACTTCTTGACCCTCCTTCCCTGAAAAATGGAAATCTAAGATACTTGATCAGCGAAATATCAAGTAAGGCTCTCATACTTCAGAAGGTGCTTTAAAGCTTTTTGGTCTTAGTTTAGATGAGGCAAGCCTTAAAAAAACCCCAAAATTTTATAAGGCAGCTTTTGTAACCTGAAAACCTGGAGGCCTGAAAAATGCCGCCTTGAAAGAGAAAACAAGGAAAGGTGCATGAATGATTTAAGAACAAATGCCAAAGGCAATTTATTTTAATCTAACTTAGCTTCTCGGATATGTCTGTAAACCATATGCTTAGAATAATCACACACCAAAAAAAAAAAAAAAGTCTTGCAACATGGAAATATCAGACAACTGAGTAGCTCAGTTTTAATAATTTTGATAGTTTAAAATTCTATTTCAAAACCAAATCCTTTAAAATAAGTATACTTAGGAGAAAAACCGGTCAAATCAGACCTTGCAAGTTATAAACAAAGGCTTCTTACTTTACAAAAATGAGATGCTCACCCAGACATCGCATAAATTTCCATGTCCTCCTACTTCTCCTCTACTCCTACCCTGAACAATTCTGCTATTGTCAGCCTTATGCCCTAGTTCACTCCTCATTCAACCTGCTGTTTCAGCCTCACGGAACTGATCAAGTCAGTTTGGAAACCACCATCTGCAAATACAGGAAGCCGGGGTGGAAGTTTAACAGAAGAAAAGCAGGTTAAGGAAAGGGAATGCCATCAGAATGAGGAAAGCAGGCATGACAGAGCAGGGAGGATGAAGTCTCGAAAGGCCAATAGACACATGCACTCCTGAAGGCAAAGGAAGTGGCACTTGCAATAGCTTTCACAATTGCTGTGACCACAGAGAACCAAAACCCTCAACATCATGCACTCTTCTCCTGGAGGCTGCAGCTTTCACACGGATGACATATGCACACGCTGGAAGCAGCATCAGAATGTTAGACAAGGCCAGGATGAGTCTTTACACCACCAGTAGCTTTAATTTTAGGAAATTTCAGACAGATCTCTTCTAGCTGATATTGTTTGAGTGAGGGTGAAGAACACTGAATGAAAGAGTTTAAAAAGTCTACCAACCCAAAATTTACATAGACTACATTTCTCTTGCAATATTATCATACGTATATTTCCCTTTCATAGAAGTAAACAGTAGAACAGAAATAAAATGCTATTTGCTGACCATTTTTAACCCTATTAAGTTAATCATCTGCAATCAAGCATTTGAGCACGAGACCTTCATCAGCATAACATGTCCAACTTTTTTTTTTTTTTTTTTTTTTAAAGAGACTATACAAAATAAGTAAATCTCAGTCTCCAGAAGGAACTGGTAACTCACCTTGAGTTAATCAATTGACACATTTAAAACAAATACTTCTAGGTGGAAAAAGAGATATTAAAAGGCTAGGAAGCTAGGTGAGCAGCTGTTTCAACCAAGTAACTTGAGAAAGACTTGAGAAAAAGATTTTCTAGTTCAAATCTAAACTGTTGGCTGTCATGAAAACAGACTAAAGAATTACCACTCTCCCTTCTATATTCTGCCAGAAAGCAAGCAATGAACATATGTTACATTTTAAACTTTGCACTTTTTTTCCACTGTCAACTCAATCTAAGAAATGCTGGTTAAGCTAGTTTCCATGAAACTGCATTGCATTCCACAGTGAGTGTTCTGTCTGGGATTTCCCTGTGAGATATGCTGGCATGCAAAGCTCAGTTAAAAGCTGACCCAGAGAAAGCACGTTAAAAAGAGAACCACACAATACACACATTTGCCTCCACTTCCAGAGTATTCATCTCCCATTGGATCAACTGAAAGGAAGCAGGAGGGAAAATACAAGAAGGATCAAAATTGAAGGTTCACCAGTGACACAGGAAGGGAAGTGAATACTACTTGATGTTTAAAGAAATGAAACACAATTTTCAGTAACAAATAGTTTTTTCAGTTTTGATTTAGAACCAAAAAACAGAAACTGTACCAAGCATGAAAACACCTGCATTTCACTGCCTTCTGGCCCCATTCTCTTGAAAACAAGCAAACAAAAAGGTAAATACATGTTATACATTTTTAAGCAGTCTGTGACTAAGTCAGGACTTCTGCTTCAAAGGCAAATAAGCTCTGACAAATCAGAAACTGATGCAACATTCACCTTTGGTTTTTGGTTGGTTTTTTTTTAAAGTCAAAGAATCTTTTAATCCACTGGAATGCATTCTGTGTTTTTACGGGCATCTCCTTCACTAGGAATTAAATCACTGTTCATATTACAAAGGAATGAAGCAGCTAAAATTTTAGTTTACTTGTGTTGTTTGGAATGAAAACAGGGAAATAATTCAGGCACAAGTTTATTCTGGTGCTTTAAGAGGTTGCTGGCAAAGCAAATCAGTACAATACTGCTCTGCCAACCTAACTCAAAATCTCGCCCCAAAAGAATTCAGTATTTATTCACAAGCAGCTGTTTCATAGCTAGTTATTTTGAGATGACAAACACTTTGTCACTCAAGACAACGTCTAACAAAAATTAGCCACCATTTTCTTTTCTGAGCAAGGATGGCATTGAAGCCAGGTATCAATTCACAACTGTAACCCTTTAAGGAGAAGGAAAAAGATGCTTTCTTTCTCAGTATGAGATTAAGTTTCTGTATCTCAACTACGCTCCTTTTACTGGCAGCCAGACAAAAAGCCCTCCATAACTCCCCAGGGCAACTCTTGAATGTGTAAGGTCTATTACAAAAAAAAAAAAAAAAAAATCCTTTCCACAGTAATGGGAAATTCAATCTTTATATTTTTCCTTGAGAGTTTGAAGGGCTTGTCAACTCTACAGACAATCCTAGGATGGGCTATTTAAAGACAGAAGAGGCTACCATTTCTAAAACCATGTTCAAAATTTCGTATCAGCACCTACATTTACTTCCATGTTTTAAACCCCTTTCTCTCGCAGGCCCAGCTCTTCCTCCTCTGTAAGAGACACCAACCTCAAGACGGTAAGGTCTGTTTAATCCACTTACTGTCAATAATATCTCCCAGCCCCTGGGCACGCAGGAGATCCTTAAGCCTTGTCACCTCCTCCTTCAGCTCACGCACCAGCTTGGCATTGGGATCTTCATTGATAACCGCATTGCATTTAATCTGCTTTGCACGATCAGCATATCTGAAACCAGACCAAAAAAATAAAACCTTATCATGAACATGTAAGTGCTTACCTGCACCACAGAAATGCAGCAATATAGGAGACATTTAGCTTGCAGCTGTATGTCAGAAGAGAATCCTACATTATATTCAATCGTGCTTTTGAATTCCTACTTAATACAGGGTATTGCTGCAAAAAAGTCCTATTCAAGATGGATTAACCAGGTGCATCATATGTACAACAGACAACATGTTGGGTTTTTTGGTTTGTTTGTTTGGTTTTTTTTTCTTTATTCAGTGCTTCGAAGCCTCAGCTTGACTAATATGCTCAATTTTAGGGACCACACTGGAAAAGAACATATGAACACGAGAAGATGGGTTTGATTTTTCAAGTTAAGAGTAGGCAATAAATCCCTAGCTCCCTATTCACATACAATAGATTGGGTTTCCTCTTTCAGGGTAATTGAGCTCTTGTCAGTATAGAGTCTTCTTCCCCATGGATTTTCTCAGAGTATAACAACCCAAAGGTTTGACGGATAACTTGTGGCCATTAGAGCGAACAGCTACCCATATCCACCTCAGATGAAAAGAAAGTACCTTAAAGTGCTCAAAGTTTCATCATAGTTTATGTCTGCTGGACTCAAAGCAGCAACCATCGCAGTTCTGGAGTTACCGCCTATAATGAACAGGCAAGGTTTTAGATGAAACTGCAGTGCACAATCTAGGCACTAATTACCTACTAAATATCAGTATTTTATATACAATATATATGTAACATATATTTATATATAATATATAAACTATAGAATTCAACCATATTCTACATTACTAAGGAACATACAAATACCATAGGAAAGAGAGATGTAATTTTAACGAAGTGGAAATATATGACTCAGATTTGACTACTAAAAATATTTAACCTTATACTTGATACAAATTTAAGTTAAGTGAGCTAAAAGCAGTCAAAAAAATTAGTGAGAATTTCTTTCCATATTGGCACAGGCAAATCAGCCATACCTAGATTTTCTCGAAGAAGCCATGTCAGTACAGAATCCCTGTACGGTATAAAGTCTGTCTTCTTCTTTTTTTTACTCTACAAAAAAAGAACATACTACTGAAGAATAGACATCAAATGGAAAATTCATGTTTAAGATATAAAAATCATAGTTATAGGTATTAAAAGAACCGTGACAGCATACACATTCACTATCTAACAGAGGGGTGGCTCATCCTCAGTTGTACAAGTTTATTGACTTTGATATTAGATAATAGGCAATATATTCAGACATCTAAACAGATGATAAACAGTCCAGAGAATTCCGTTGAAGCACTACCTTCAGAATGGTTTTTCTGTGTATGAAGAACATCTTTCTGACATTTAAATTCTGTGTTCTGAAACCATTCCAAGATAATTTAAGCAGTAAACTACTCATTCAGGGAAAGATTCAATTTTCTTTTCCTAGAAAATTACAGCTTTTTAGAGCAATCTAAAGTCCATTACAGGAGATTCCACAGCTACAGAGATACAGGTGCACATGTAAAAGGACAACTGGCCAATCTCCCTGTGTTTCTGTAAGCAGTTATAAGGAAACTTGAAGACAAAAAAGATGTAAGTATTTTGGACACTGAAATTCATGTATGAGTACAAAGGAGGTAGTTTTAAGGTTTTTTAAGGTTTGTGGTTTGGTGGGGGTTTTTTTGGGGGGGGGGCACAATTTAAAACCTAAATAAAGACAAAAACTTTATAGAGACTACTCAAATTGAAGCATCAGGCCACAAGACAGGTGCCCAAGCATCTAAGTACTTGGTCCCGAAATCAGCAGTGACAAATGTGAACTTCCACACAAGAGACGAGGGCCTTCTCAGCACCTTTGGCAGACTTCCCTCTAAATTTCATGGTAAAGGCTTTCCCTAGCTTCTTTATTTGGTCTAAAAGAAACAATGATTAACTTCAAAAGCTCCATAACAGAATGTGACTCACACAAATAGTTAGTAGGCAAACATCTTGCTTCAAGAAGACACCAAAAGTTTTATTCCACACAATATTTAACACAGGATATGGCTTTGCAATAAAAGGCCTGATTATAGTTTGTGTGAAAATCCTGTTAACCCTCAAGAGGTGCTTAAAATATGAGTGTTAGTCTTGCAGTAGTTCTACTATCCCTTGCCAAAGGTGAGTAACCTTACAATGGACAAGTAAAATTACTAAAGGCAGGTAAGCACCAGATGCTAAAGCTGAAAACTATAATTGATTATCGCCTACAATCTGTCATATGGAGTAAAGAAAAAAGCATGGAGAGTAGAAGCATAAAAACAAAGATGAAGTTATCCCTACTGAAAGCAAATATTCCTAAGGCAAGTCACCAAATCAGGAGCAGGGATGTAATAAAAGAATATTCCTAAGTGCATACTTAAATGTGTACTTTTCATTAGTTTATCCTCAACCTTAGAACATTTTAAAATTTTAGTACTAATAATTCTCAGGCTTCATGACAACAATTTATAGTCACAAGAATTCCTCAAACACCTGGCATAAAAGATCCCTGCTCTTGGATTCCAAAGCGAAGAGAATAAAATCTTACACTCAGACAAAAGAGACCACATCCACTACTTCTAAGACCATCATACCTTGTTGGTGCAGTTATCCTAAGTTGAAAGCATTAAAGAAAGAGGAAGAATATAGAAGATGAGCTTCTTAACAGAGCTTTATATACAGTTTCCATGTTACCTCGGATAGTTTTTTCTTTTCATGAGAAGCCCAAAGAATATTAATAGTTTTCATTAACAAAAACTAAACAACATTTAAGTATATTCAACCTGTCCAAGCTGCTGAGAACTCACTTTGAAAAGGAAGAGCAATAATTTACTTGTTTGGTTTGGTTTTTAATAATCAAATTATTACACTGGCATTTCCAAAATTTTTGACAACAAAGCTGCTGTTAGTTTTCTAAAATTATTCTTTCAAATAAAAATAAAATTACTGCAGAACTAAAAGCTTGCTATATGAACATATCTTCTGCACAAATGCAGGCTTCTTTTGCAACACTACTTCACAGCTAAACAAACCAATGCTTCAATCTATCAACAAATAAAAGTTACTACCAGCCTGCATGACATTCACAGAATACTATCAACAGCGTTCATCTATCAAAATACACACAGCTAATTTGGCTGAGAATGCTAGGCCAAGAACAGTGAATGATTATGTTGTACTCCATGGTTTTTACTGTCATGGTTTTACTAGCTATAGAAAGGTTGCTGCGGGTAAGTAAATGCTGTACTTACCACTTCGGCCAATGCTGAAATAACTTTGCCCAGAGTTGTGAGAGACTTGTTTATATTTGCTCCTTCCTGAAAAAACAGAACCCAGTATTATATAGTAATTAAACTTGTTCAACCGTGAACCTCTGTCGGCTAAATGAGCCAAATGTCACATCCATGATTGGCGCAGGGCGGGAGGGAAGTCTTTGGTTTTGCAACTATTTTTTCCATATTTATAATAACAATTGTTTCTTTTCCTCATTATTTGTCAAGCAAAGACTCCACATGGTGCTTGTGCACCCACTTCCCTTTCCTTCCCCATTCATCAATGGCCCAATACCTTTAATCGGGTTCCTTTGGCACCAGTTGAATCAGCTCGCTCACTCCCAGCTAGATCCACAAGGCTAATCTTGCTGACCTGAAAAGAGAAACCACGATAATGAGAATTAATTCTTGGTGAACTAGAGTAAGAACAAAATTTCAAAAGAATTCTATGCCTGAGAATAACTCTAATGTCTAAAAAAAAAAACAACCCCAAAAAACCAAAAAAACCCCCCATCACTGTGGTGTGCTTGAAACTACACTCAAACACTCACAAACAATTAGCTTAATGCTGTCATCTTATGGATAAGAAGTGTCTAGACTATGCTCTGTTTTACGTATCACTATACTCTAAATTACCTAAAAAGAGAGAATGAAATCTCACGTGAACAGAGCAGAACAGAAGTCAAAAGAAATTAAACGTTACTGCTAGAGACAACACAAGAATCTCAAAGGAAGAGAACTTAATGTATCATCCCAACTCTAGTGACACCAACAATAAAGCATTGGCCTAACCGACGCTACAGAAGGCATGTCAGTTAATGATAATTTTACAGGGTCTTAGCATTTGGCAGGGGGGCCATCTTCAATACATAGTTTTCTTTCAGAACTGCCCACAGCAGTCACTTCAGAAATATGAATATTACCTGTATTTCAGCTACTTTTGCCTGCAGAGTCTCTATTTCAGAGTAATAACAGCCAGAAAGCTGTTCCACGCTAAACAGTATATGTCCTTTTAACATTCAAATTCCAGAAAGTGCCCAAGTCTCACTCATCCCAATTCCTGTGCCCAAAGAAAAGAACTAACGAGGCAAATACTTTGCCCCGACATGCAAAAAGACAGAAAGTTCTGGGAACAAGACTGGGGCAGATTAACTTCTTCTATTTCATATATCCCTCCCCATAGAGTCTAGTCCTTAAAGCCATATTTTTTCTACATCAATATATTCTCCTTCTGCACATATTCCCCATTTAGTTGTTTTTAGAATTACAGTCAAACAAAATCCTGTAAGAAATAAAAGGGCTCTGTCAAGGGAGACAGCAAGTTCACCCTTAGACAAAACATCAGAAAAAACAACTAATTCTCATTTTCTCATCATACTGCCAACAAGAATAAGTCACTGCAGGGAAGATTTGTGCAAAAATGGTCAGAAAGCCACTTCTTATCTGTAACATACCTTCTCTGTGGAAAGATTAGTTTCTGTGTCATGTTTCTTCTGAGTAAAGACAATTGTAAACACAGCATGAGAGCGGCTGCTGGTTTCATTCATGTTGGTAGCTGCCACAGTCCTAACATATGAACAGATATAGACACGTTTAGAAAAGAGTAGCCTCTGTGCTGCAGGTACAACTACCTGCAGGGCTGAATGCAGCTGTAGAGTAATGAGACCAAGAGGCTGTACAGTTTATGTTCTGCTCTGTAACCAAGATCAAACCACACTGAACACCTTTAACAAACCCTTTGATTTTTCACTCCTGAATTACTCCCTTCTTCATCACAGTTTAAACAAATTTCCTCAATAATCTACCTTGCACTCAAACACACAAGAAAACGCGAACAGCATTTATGTCAATCTATCCTGTGATTTGCAGCACTATTTCACCACGCAAATCAATGTAAGCCTTTTAATAGCATTGATTAGTGCATATTTCAACAATACTCCTCATGCGACGCAAGTCTTGTAATAAGTGCAAAAGCATCACAGAAGATATTTTAAATTTTCTGCTATATGCCATATATCCCCACAAAAGAGATAAAAATATGTAACAGGCTACCATCACTAACCTGGCTTTGTTCCCAGCATCCATGAGGTCTGCAATGTCTGTATAAGACGTGACTGCTAACTTGGACAGATCTTCCACATATGGTCCAAGCAGAGGATGTTCTCGCACTCGCAAATTCCCTTTGTTCTTCGGGTTCAACAAGTCTCTGACTCTTTCACAGTATATCTCCATATAACTCACCTGAAAACAGGAATTTGCATGGACAATTTAGTGTTTCTTAAGGCTTCCTCTGCAAGCAGCTCCGCAGCATTTCAGAGTGCCACTGGTAGAAACTCCCCCAGTCCACTATAGGAAAGCTATAGCTGGGTGTCTCAGTTCTTTTATCAGCTTGAGGCAATGGCAGAAGGGAAGAAGAGTCACTAGTCTCATGCATCAGGTCTCCAACATACGCTGCAGGCCTTGCATCCATGTATAGATCCCTCAACCATTTAAAAAAATATCTGTGTTTAATTAAAAATTATACATTTCAGTTCACAATAATTTTAACAGTTTTAGTATGACACAGCAGCAAAACTATCTTTCCTAAAGAGGCAAGGAAGACAAATGCTAAAAGGAGTCTGCCTATAAAGAATCTCTCTTATGAACCTCCAAAGCAAACTTAAAAAGGGAAAAAATTAATTTCTTTGTATGCAGAAGCAGCCTTTGATTCTAAGCTCTACCCACGTCCTGCTGTATTTCCGAGTCATCAGTACAATTATTCAAACTACGGTAAACTTAAATCTGCACCCTTTGAAATAAATTATAAGGCTAAGATTATTTTCAAATGCATTCATTAGTTTTTATGTTTCTCATGACACTGGGCTTATCCTAGTCCAACAGGTACTTAGCAGCTCCAGCAGTCAAGACATTAAAAGAGACAGTAAGTTATTCACTTTCTGTGAATCACTGTGGAAAGATCACAGATGTAAGCAGCAGTTTTAGAAATACAAAAAGATATCTTCAATCTCTAAATAAGTGCAATTCAGAAAAATGAATTCTATATCCAAAACACATCACGATAAAAATTTATACACCTCCATCATGGTTTCTGTCTAGCTGTCTCTCTTCTCTGCTTGTTTGCCAGATGTTCATTCCTTTGGATTTCCATTATAAGAGAGATTATTTCTCTCTCTCTCACACATGAGCAAATCTATGCTTGGAAACATAATCCAAACCATAAACAAGTACCAAATACAAAAAACATCATGAAAACGTGGGAGTCTTCTCATTCACAAATCCTAATGCTCCTACGGCATTCAAGCATCATCAAATGTTAATAAAATACAATTAAATTAAGTGTTAAAATGGACAAATTCAAAGCCACAGAACTAGTAATTTTCTAGTTCTGTAATTTAGAAGTGGTAGTGACTGGAGTTCACATTTATTAGTAATAGTCACATTTTACTTCTATGGACTTTTTGGTTTTCCTTTCTTTTGAAGCCTGCAATGTATTTGCATGTCAAGCCATTAAAACCGATTTGGGGGGGGGGACAGGACGGGGACGGGACACACACTGTAAGAGAAAGAAAATACTGTTTCTGTGAAGCACCTGCTTTTATTTTATCAGCATCTTAATGCACCATCAATAACACAGCACCTAAGCTCAGTTTGATGTCCAGCACACATATATTCTTTGATCTCTCACCATACTCACCTCTACAGAATATGACATTTCTTCATTGCTGTTGTCATTGATTTTCTCAAACAGTTCTTCACATAGCTGGAAAGAGATTAAACCCGAGTCAGAAATTAGTCTTTTATGAGTAGTAACAAGTAACTACTGTAACATATCATTAAATTGGGTGGGGAAGGGGGATGGCAGGGAAGAAAAAGAACCTATTACATCAACCACATACAGCCTCACTGGGAAGATACTTCATCTCAATTCTACATTACTATCATTCAATCTTATTTTATATAGTATCTCAATAATTTTTCTAGATTTAACCAATATTATTATTCTATATTATAAAATTAGAAAAAGCCTATAATAACTGAAATTGGAAGTAATAATTTTAGAAAGGCATGATTGAAATCCTTAATCCTCTCCTAGTCTCTTAAAAACAATAGTCTGTTTATTCAGTGTGCTGAAGTTCCAGGATTCAGGTTTAAATCAACAGGCAAAAATTACTTCACAATTTGTTAACAATATCTTCATATGAAAGATAAGTTAACAGGAATCTACTGCGTCAAAACTGCTTGTCTACAAGTAACTGAGAGACCTGAAATTAAGATAATAAAGGAAGAAGTAGTGAACAGTGGGCAAGTCATGGATACGTATTTGGAGATTAAAAAGCATGGGTATGGAGAGGAATAAGAGTAGAAAGAGGTTTCTGGAACAGATATCTACAACCCACTGTACGGAAAATAAACAGATTGTGACCAATACAGACAATTTTGAAAGTACACACTCTGAAGTTTTAAGTCAACACATGGTTGAAGTACCACAAAGTTTCACACTACGGACTGGCAGACAGGGAATTTTGCCAACACATAAGAATTTAGTGTCAACAACCTATATTACTTGGAACATGATTGTGCTGTACCTTCTGCGTACGTGACAAGAGATTGAACAGTTTCAACAAGGTCTCCCTGAATATGTAATTCATTTTTTATCTTTACGAGAAGACCTCCCAGTGAATTTGGAGGGAAATTATTTTGTTTTAAAATTGTAGTAGATAATAATGTTCCTGTAGATTTAATAATGTTCCTGTTAAGTTGGGGCTTTTGGGGGGGACAATGTTTTATTTGTACATATTTGAAGTTTCAGAAAACCAAATAGGAATATCAAGATTACAACAAAAAGTTTTAGCATGAAGCTGTTGTCATAGATTTATAGCTTGTTTCACCTGTTACACTGTTACTTTATACTACTGTAATAAAACCAAAATGCTTAGATATAACAATTCTGTCCTTCATCACATTAGCTCTTTCAACATTATTTTAAGCTAATCACCAGAACACTTGCTACCTATTTCAGTACACATGCCCACGCTATTAGCAGAGAACAACACTCTGTGTCATCTATTTCACACCTGTGGCACAGGGCCAATGCCTGTAGCAGAATGACAACTCAAGCTGTTCAGCATATTTATTTATTAACTGAAACCCAACCTCAGATTTCTATTTTGGGAATGGAGGAATGCACTACCTTCCAACAAACTCGGTCCGCTGTCAGCACCTACACAACTAAGGAAGGCCTGTACTTTGAACAAGTGCCACACAACCAACAGCTATAGAATGCTAAATTCATGATGATGGCATGAACTGTTGCCAGCCAAAATTTCCTGGGGGTGTATCTCAACTTTGTCAAATGGCAAAAACAAACTGGGGGGCTGGGGGGGGGAATAACACTGGGTGGTGCTCAGTCACCCTATATATTTTTTTCCCAGTGTTTTGATATGCTTCGTTGCTTACCAAAATATATTATTCAGTTTTTAGCTTTGGGAAACTTGTTTCCACAACTGGCATGTTCATCAGTAATACCAGCTTTTGAATTCTTGCTGAATACAAAGTGCTTAAGCACTGTCCTAGCTAAAGTCGGAGAAGGAGACAAGAAACCCAGTGAGTAAGACATCTTCATTTACTAGTTTGTTGGGGAAGTGGAGAAATTGGATCTAGGAAAAATATAGAGAGTATACAGTACAGTTAAAAAAAAAAAGGTAACAGAGGGAAAATTACTTATAATGGTCTTTTTCACCAGTAGATTTCTTTCACTTCAGAAGTAAGCTGTGGTTCTCTGTTAACTGCTATTCATAGAATCATAGAATCACTTTGGTTGGAAAAGACCTTTGAGATCATCGAGTCCAACCTTTAACTTAACCCTGCCATCCCACCACTAAACCATGTCCCTAAGCACCTCATCCATCCTTCTTTTAAATACCTCCAGGGATGAGGACTCTACCACCTCCCTGGGCAGCCCATTCCAGAGCCTGACAACCCTTTCGGTGAAGAAGTTTTTCCTAATGTCTAGCCTAAACCTGCCCTGGCGCAGCTCCAAACCATTCCCCCTCGTCCTATCATCTGTTACCAGGGAGAAGAGACTGACCCCCATCTCACTACATTCTCCTTTCAGGCAGTTGTAGAGGGCGATCAGGTCTCCCCTCATTGCAATATAGTGTATCAGCAAGCATGTTTCTAAATATGCTATAAAAACCAAAACCAAATCCCCTTTCTGAGTTCTGTTCTACCTGAGGGATTATGCCTGCTTGGCTCTCCTCCTGCTTGCCCATCATTGTGTAGGATTTCCCAGCTCCAGTTTGTCCATAGGCAAAAATGCATACATTGTAGCCCTCAAAGGCATGCAGCAACATCTCCTTCCCAATATCATTGTACACACGGCTCTGAGACGCAAAGCAGGGATCTTCAGGCTGAAAAGACATGAAAACAGCATAAGTACTGTCTTTTCCTATCATTCAAGTAACATTTGAAAAAGCAAATGGTTTTGGGTTTCTTTTTTTTTTTTGACTTCTATCTTGTGGGTCAATCCCTTCAGAAGAGGCAAACGTAGTGCATATTTACACACAGCTTTTTCCCAAGGCAGTACCAGCTGGAGAAGAACAACGACAACCCTTGCAGGACCATTCTGTCACTGCTGAGGAAACAATCTGCACAAAGAAACCAACCAATTCCGTTTTGTGCATATTATGTACTTTACTGGAAAAGATGCATGCGAGATCAGCAACAAACCAGATTGAAGGTGTTTAAGAAAAGGGAGGTGGGGGAAGAAAACCAAAAGTAGAGTTCAGAGAGTCAATACAAATAAATAAAGGGCTGGAAGCTTCAAAAATCTCACAGGCTGGTGGTCTTGACAAGGGCTCTGAAGGGTAGCAGGGGAAAAAGAGAAGCAAAAGGTGCTTAGGTTTATTTCCTGGTGGGTTTTTTTAAGATTAAAAGAGTGTAAACAAATAATTACAATGACCAACTTTTTCTTACAGCTGTCTGACTCCATTGGCTAATCCAACCTATGTTTCTACTTACAACCTCACTGGTGACTACAAAATCACTATGTCAATACATATTTCAAATTAGCAAGTAGCTGAACCGGTCAAGGACAATGTATCAGAACATTTTTCTGTAGCTAAACTCAAGGTTAGCAAAAAACCTGAAATATTAAAAAAAGCTACCTTGAAGTAATTTAGCCCAATGATTAAACAAACAAAAACTGTACTGCAGATGCATTCAGTGATAGAAATCTATATAAGGACAAAGCAAGTTAATCACCTTGAAACACTCAACTGAAAAGTTTGTTACGTTTTGAAAAGAGGCACTGCTGCACATGCAATGAAAAAAAAAAAAAAAAAAACCCACAAGTTAAAGATGTCAAAAATACACTTGCCAGATCTCAAGGCAAACACAGAACCTGTTCAACACAAAACTTCATGAATTGTAGAAATTAATTCTCCTTTTTTTAAGTAGTGTGTTTCAGGCACTTGGGCACTGTACTTATCAGACTCCAACATCCAGTCATGAGAGGCAATCTAAGATGCAGCTCCAGGCATGGTACAGGATACAAAAATGCTGACAGAAAGCTGGATGCAGCATGTATGCTCTTATTTCTGATGTCCTCTCTTGATTATTTAGGAAAGTCCTTGGTAAATATACTTAAAAAAATTATCATACTAATGATGATCTACACAGGTGGTTTATGTTGCACACACCAGAAGAGACTACACAGACAATGTACCACTGAAACTTGATTTTCTAGGAGTATGTCAGTACATTGTATATGACTATGTTGCTCTTAATCTACTATTCTCTCTCTCCCTGAAATGTTGGATTTTAACATTGCTTACTGCTGGAATCAGGACAAATTTAGCTGTGTTAACATTCTAACATCGAGCTCAAGGTTTTATCAGACCGGTTCTTTTCCTGGATGCTGCTTATCTGCTAGTTTTTCGGAATTATGTTCATAATTCTCTGATTCATCCTGTAATCTACTTGCATGGCTGCTCTGGAAGATTCAGTAAAAGAGCTGCACAAATCCCAGTTTTTCATCACAAAACCAATCTTATGGGCCACAGCTTTGCTCAGAAATATTAAGTCTTATTTGCAACATCCAAATTAGTAAAAATTAATCTTGGTGAAATGCATTATCTCTTCTTTCTGTATGTTTTGAGAAAATAAGGCAGGGGAGGAGTAAAGGGCAGAAGAACACAGTTATACTGTAGAACAATTACTGGAAGTCAGCAAGACCTTAGCGCCAATTCACAGGAGGGTGGGGCAGAGGAGCTAGATGAGAGTTTATTGCTTTTGCAGCTAGGGGAAACATGGATTACTGTTCTGTTTTTTCCAGATATGCCAAGGGAACCCACACCACATCTCTCCTTGAACTGTAGGAACTTGAGCGACTTTCACTTGTCTAAGAGCAAAACTGAATTAACTGTGGTTCACATGCATCCTTAAAATACCTAGAACAGAACATTGTTGGAGAGTATTTTAAGTAATCTTTCAAATATCCAGAACTTGTTATCAAACTCCAGGAGCTTGACTTTCTGCTCTCTCCCAGACAACACACAATGACAAGCTTTCAACCTCCATGAGGGTGAGAGAGAATGCAGTTAAATCAAGCCAGTCAACAACAACAAAAAAATTGTTTTCTTGTAAAAGAACTTACCGATGTGTGGGACCAATAAGAGTAGTCAAAGCTGAAGGACTTTGGTGCTTCCTTAGGATTCTTTGGGTTGATAATACCTACAGAAAATAAAATTCAAACTCTTAGCTAACTTGACATTTAGGAGCATAATTAAATGAGCTTGATGACCCTCAATTAATTTGTGAATCTGAGTATTCACAGAGTTGCCACACTGCACAGGAGTAATAAGATTGAAGTAATAGACTCACAGCTTCTTAACACTGTATTTCTGTAGGGCTTATTTATATAAGTAAAGGAAAAAAATTCCTAGAAGGAATGCTAAACAAAATTATTCTGTTGGACAAAAGCCAGAAGCAGGTTGTCCTGGTCCCTTGGCTTTTAGAATGGGACAGGCTTTTAGGAGTTGAGGGATATAAGCAAGAAGGAAGACCCGAAACACAAAGAGTTCAAGAATTCCTGGTGATTTCATAGCAGCACAACTCAAGTCTATTTTGAAACACATGTTACACAGTAGAGCTCATTGCAGAAGGATTTTCTTCAAGAAGCTCAGTATTTTCAGGGCATGGAGGAAGATATGAAAAAAGTTGGATCTATAGACATGTCAGGGATTATCTGCATAGTTCATTTCAGTGTTCTTTTACATGCACAAAACCTACTGACAGAATTTTCATAGGACTGACATTAATTGAACCAACCAAATTACTGGTAAATGTTCTTACTGTACACAGCCACTGAATCCCACAGTGACCTCCAACTTGTGTACTTCCTCTTTGAAACTTCCATACAATATACGATGGCCCTATGATGAGGTTCACACACATACACACAAAAAAAAAAGCCAGAATGAAAAAATGCTTGTGTATGGTTCCTATGTTATAGCCTTCGTAAGTCCCATTCAAAAAGCTGACCTCCAACTGCCTTTTCAGCCCTTACAATCCTTGACTTAATTTTCTTTCCAAGGCATTCATATATAAGAATCTAAGAATCTTCAGGTGAGTTAAGTCATTGAACATTTTACAAATACCAGAATAAATATGCTTTGTAAAAAACACTGTTTTCACACCAGCACATCTGTAAATTTTATGCTCTTTTCCTTTTCTCGGATCCTCTAATTCTTTCAGTATTTGCACATTCCCCACAATTAATGAAAGCTCTTCCAGATAAATTTTCAATTGTCATTTTGGGTTTGGGTTTTTTTTTTTTTCCTTTCCCTCCAACAAAACAGTTTCCTATCACCTTTGCCGGGGCGGGGCTGAGTAATACACAATGGATTCAGAGGTCATTTTCATGGCATACAGAATGCCTATAGCTTCTGTATTCCAAGGAGGGTAATTTATAAGCACAGCTCTTGCTGGAGTAGTGAATCTCTATGGCTTTCTTCTTTTCAGTACTACAGTGCTGGGTATACTTAAATCTATTATTTCTAGCAGCTGTTTTCAACACCATCTGTTTAAGTAAGGACTGTAAAAAGGCATACTCTTGAGGGCATCAAAATTAGATAAACCACCTTAGATTTACACATACCCATCTGCACCTGAAGCAGCAATCTGTCTTTGGGAGTGATACACTAATTACGATAAATCCAAACAAAATCTACAAAGAAAGAAGCTATACAAAAGTGGTGACAGTCTTCCTGGGGATGACTTACATCCTGATACCAGCCATCCTAAACAAAGGATGCTTATTTCTCACATATTCATGCCAGTTAGGCTGTGCTTTAGGAGACAAGGGCTTCTCCCTTCTGTGATAAATAAAAATTATAACACTCACATCTCTTATCATTTTAAACATGAACTTAACATCACATTGCACCAAAATCTCTGAAAATGTGGTTACAGAATCCCCAATAAAATTAAATCACTCCTCTACCAGATGCTGTGTCCCTGAGCAGGGCTGTTGTCCAAAATTACAGTGTGGAGAAAAGATCACTGTCTGGATTGCAAATAGCAACAGTTGCTACTCTTATTTCTTGTGGCCAACTCCATTTCACTTGGATGCACCTTGTGCTGACATTCTTGCCTTATAAAAGCTGACAGACAAGCAAAGCGCATGAATAATATGCCTTGCACCAGTACAGTATCAAATGGCAAAAACGCTTGTGACTTTGGATAGCAACATAGGCACTGACACATAACAAACTGGTAACCTAAGCAATCATATATGGCTTTAGTTTCCCTTTACTAGTTTTGACCGAACAGCAGTACATCTACAGCACACACTATTAAACCAGTTCTAAAGTTAAATGAACAAATAACAAACTCCAGATGACAAGTCCCCTGCCCCAAACTTAAATCAGTTCTCTCCTTTCAGTGAATTCCAGACTACTACAATCCAACACCTTCTCATTTCTTATTCAATTATTTAACATCAAAGCTCTGAAAGGTAAGGAAGAAGTAATGCCTTGTACCTGGAAGGCCATACCCCAAAAAGCAGTACAAATAAAAACCAACCCCCACATTAGTTCAATGTGACAACCTTTGGGGGTTAACATTATTTTCTTCAATTGTTTTGGACTATAAATTCCAGGGTAAAGAATCTAACCATTACAAGCAGAAAAAAGCAGCAATAAATAGAATGCATTCCTGTGTACTAGAATTTATTCCTATGTACCGTATAACACAATTCTAAACAGACAATTTAAAAAAATGTATTGCCAGCACCACTCCTGACAATATACATTCTGTTGCTTAATCTCAACAGCAAATAATTTTAACCCAAATTCTTGATACTACGCTACCTTTATTGGGACATTGCATTTGCAACATTGCCCTGCAAACGCAAAACTCCCAGCCTGGCAAGCTGTAAAGGGAATAAAGACAAGCAAAAGCCTAGCTACATCTTTGCTGACCAAGAAACACATTTTTAACTACAATCTAAAACCAAGCATTGGTTACAGGGTGTCACATCGGTGAAGTTTTACTTCTAGGTGCAAATGCAATCACAAAAGAGAGCTTTGATCTCACTTATTTACTTCATGGCATGATTGATTTGTCTCCTCTTAGAATCAACAGTGAAATAGCAAGTATTGATCAGGTTTTTTCTTCTCCACTTTCATATTGTTTTTTATAAGCAAAAAGGACATTTCTCTTTACCAAGGCAAATCTGTACTTGGTCTGCCCAAGGAAACAAGAGTTAAATTGCCTTCTAAGATTCTACTGTGGCAGAAACAGAAAACAGAACAAGCAGCACAAATTTCAGTATTATTCAAAACCACATTTGACGTGAAAATACACATTTCCCATTAACTGTTTTTAAAAAACCTAAAAATCTCTAGGAAAAGTCCACCACTTCCAAAATGAAAGCAAAGCAGCTAAACATTTCATCAGAATAGCTATTTTTTCCACCCAGCTCACTGTGCATAAAGGCACACTGACCACCCATGAAAGACAAGATCTCTAGCTATGCAACAGGCTTAGCGTCTGGAAAGGCACTAGAAGCTTGCCATTACAGCTTCATCCTACTTGCTTCAAGCTTAAATTTGATCCATCACATTTGTGAAAAGTGAAGTTCAGGCTCCGTGATTTATGCAAGTGGTTCCACCCTGTTCCACTTCTATTTCTTTTAGCCCTTTTTTATTATTATTTTCTTAGACAGGCTTTCCTCCTCTCCTTCACACTAAGTTCCATCACCAGCTCACCATTTTGAAAACTACTTTCTAGGATGCCTGTTTTTGCAAAGCATATCTTGAGAAGCATATCAGGAAAGGGATATTAATGTGCAAGGCAGCTCTGTCAGAGGTTGGGAATGCAGCTGCCTGGCCAAAACCTTCCACTGAAGCAGGAACGAGTCAGAGAAAACCTCCTGGCTGCCAGGAACTCTGCATGCTGTCCCTCACTGCTGTGATCGATCCACTCACAGGCTTTTCACTCAGCTTCTAGTCCAAGCCTGAAGTCTATTTATGCCCGTTCCTGTTTCTTACACAGACTCCACATCCTCCGTTTTCAGAATCACTGGCTTAACAGAATTCTCAGTCTGCCTGCAAATGAATCCAGCAGAGCTGACTGATTGAGAAAAGACTACGACCTCAATGGATTTCAATCGGACTGAAACCATCTTAATTTGGAACACCAAGCTCCAAGTGGGTAGCTACTAACATCAGTCATGTCTGATGTGGTCTGAGTTTGAACCAAGCGATCAGGTACACAGTAACGCGAGATCAGACACCTGGAAGAAGATGGTGAGGCAGCTAAGAAACCAGCAATTCAAACTGAAGTAACTGACCTAACTTGAAGGTGTCTATTGCACCAAGCATCTTCTTTGGAGGGACAAGCAAATCCGTGAAATCTAGCTACTTTTAAAGGAAGCTAATGGATATTTCTGAAGAAGTTAAAAGACTTCTTGTAGTACAGGTAAGCTTTATCCGCAAAGTTCATATGCCGAATTGGGAGAGAAAAAAAAGGAATGATCATGCAGAAATTAGTCTGAGTGGGTAACACTGATTTTGTGTGCCATGTTATTCAGCAAGCTGTGTTCTCAGCTGAACAAGGAAGTAAATAGAATTAAAAATTAAGAGGACTGTTTCCAGTGTCTCCAATACCCACAAGAACACTAAAAGCTTCTCAGTTATTTGTTTGTTTTTTAAACCATGCAAGGCCAAGATGAATTGTATTAGTGAATCATGAAATAGGTCGTCATCTATCTCCTCTCACCACAGCACACTCACGGCATGGTACCCAAGCTAATGGTTTAATTACAGAGCCTCAGGAAATGAGAAAGGCAATAAGGCAGACGATCACAGCAGGAACACATTAATGGCCTTTTTATCTTACAGAATAAATCTGTATATCTGCTATTTCAAAGGTCCAATGTGGCAATTAACTCTTCTGTTTGCAAACTGACACTAACGCTTTGTGCTGCAGCTATAATTAGTTACCATCAGCATGGCACGGTAGCAACTTTGAATGTTGGAGTTAGCCTAAGCAGCCAGTTTCTGAGAAACTCAATCCTTTTTTCAGGCCCCTTGCTTCACCAAGGGCCAACTTCTTAGGTCATGTGGAATCTTTCAGCTTTCCACAAGTTAAGGTTTCTGCATCAAACAGAAACTGGAAGGCATATTTTACAAAATCACCATCTCCTATACCGTTGCTACTGAAAAAGG